CACACACACACACACACACACACACACACACACACACACACACACACACACACACACACAGAGGTGATAAAAGAATATGCAAAACAAATAGATTTATTCCTAAGCATAAATTAGGTTTTTTGCAGTATTACAGCAACCTCTATAATATTTCTGGAATTGAGGAAGGAAGGAAGGAAGGAAGGAGGGAGGGAGGGAGGGAGGGAAGGAAGGAAGGAAGGAAAGAAAACCTTAAGAGTTTGCCAAGATTAGTTTTATGCTATTGTATGCTATTTTAGGATGGTTATTTGAAATCAGGAGTGCTTATTGAGGCAATTGCTTTGAAAAAAAAGAGGATATTTTCAAATCTGAAGCAAGAGCTCCCTCTGTCTTTATTCTGCTGCCTTTTCAAATAATTCTAGGAAAACATGAAGATATAGGTTAATATTCTTTAAAATGTTAATATAAATGTCTTGCATCTAACAAAATGGTCTAAAGAGAAGCATGGTAAAGATATTACACAAAACAGCTCCATTGAACCTGGTGGGAAGTAGACATAGGCGGAAAGAGACAATTCTGAATATTTTTGAATGACAGCTGCCGGCATCCATAGCTGCTTGAAGTTGATGAGAATTCAGAACGTTCTAGCAAAGTTAAGTTTCTAAGGGATTACATCACTATTTTGCATTATATAAAAATAATGAATATCAAGTAATTGGAGGACATGTATGTAACAAATAATGTTTGGATTTAAATATAGCAAGAACCACTGGCATCAAGTTGAGATTTTGGAAGAAGATCTTATAGGACTTAGAGTCCAACACACAAGCATCTTGAAAGACAATTTAGTGAAGTAAGTTGGACTTACCCAACTGACATTTACTCAGTTTCCTGGTTTCTTTTCCATCAAACTGGGTCACATTTGTTGATAGTTCAAAGTTATCTTCTATATCATGGGTGTCAAAATTGCGACGTTACGCCACCATCTGACATATCAAAATTTTTCTCCCCTTTGCTAAAATAGAGGTGGGTGTGGTCAGCGCATGATGCATTTGGCCCGCAGGCCACAAGTTTGACACCACTGTTCTATACAGTTTACCTAACATGTGAAATAGCAACTTTAAGAATTGTTTATTAATCCTTCAGTCTGGTAATGCTGCTGCAAATCTTGATCTCTAGTTTTCTTTCTGAAATAATGCACCAGAATATCCTTTGGTATATTTGTTAACTTTGCAAATTGCATATTTATTTTATTAACTTTTTCAATTTCTGTCTCCCTATCACTTCACCCCATTCCTGTTCTCAAATTTGATTAACAACATTGAGTGCTATTACATACTTCTGAGATATTCACAGCTAAATATTAACTGCTATCATATTTAAGTCCAAAACATTCAACCATACATACATTATATGCATCACAGTTGGCCTATTAGTTCATAGCTCCACAGAGGTATTTTTCTTTTTTGTGCATTGAAGTCCATGTTGACTCCTGGTTACTATTTGGACTACTCCCTGCAGTTTTTTCAGGAAGGTTTTTCAGGAACTGGCTTGCCATTGTCTCCTTCCCAGGGCTACAAGAGTGTGGCTGGTCCAAAATGACTTTGTGCCTAAGGCAGGGCTTGAACTTGTAGTCTTCCAGTTCATAGCACAATTCCTTAATTACTACACCAAATGGGCTCTCCACAATGGTCAAACTAAATTGCTAAAACCAATGTTTATTGTAACCAAAAGCATTTCAAATTCAACCCTAACACTTGAAAATCAAGAGATTTGATTTGGACTAGTTTGACTTACTAGTTGAAACTTCTTTTCCAGTTGGCCCAACACCACTGACCTTAATAGATGACTGTACTTCTCCATGGGCCTTGCAATAGAAAATTTACCACCACTATATAAAAAAAGCAATCACTACTGGATGCAATCAATATACCGTTGATTGATGAAAATATACCAAATATTGAAAAATGTAGAATTACAAACTGTTTCTTGGATGATTACCAGTATATTACAAGGCTATAAGAATCTATAGTGAAACAAAAGAATGTAAACTAAGCACAGGATATAAACGAAGCTGATGCTTGCCTATAAGGTTTGCTTGGAGAATTGGATGCCAAGGAATTGTCCAAAGTCAATCCAAGGTTTTAGAGTAGGTCAAGATTGTCAGTCAGTCCAAAGGAAGAATCTACATTTGAAGCTCCTGCATGTCAAATGTTTCCAGCAAAAAGAAAAGTCACAGAGCAGATTCTTATATAAATTGCAACCAGCTGTCACTAAACCAGGTTTATTCCTTTGCTTGGCGAGAAGCCTAATAGATCTTTCCTGTTTTGTTTTCCTTTCTACTCATGTGGGTTGAAGGTCTTACATCATGTTGTTCTGACTTTTACAGCTGCTCAGGTGTTGCCTGCATTATTAATCATCCTATGATTTCTCCTGAGGCTGACGTTCCACAGGTTCAGTTGGATCTTCTTTTTCAGCATCAGATTCAGACTCAGAATTTAAGGTCTGAGCCTTGGCCATAACAATTACCCTAAGCACCTGGAAACACCTTCTCCCCTTTCTTAATGGAAGATATACTAAAACACATATAAATGAAAGATTATATATGTGATTCTGGAGAAATACAAATTTAGAGGTTTTTATTATTAGAGGTTTTATTAACATTTATAGGCTGCCCTTTTCCCTGAGGGGACTCAGGGCGGCTTACATAAAATCAAGGGAGGGATATACAAACAATAACGCAGACAAAACATAGAATAAAATAATGAGCAACATTCATTCATCATTCGGGAGGGGGCAATTATCTTTGTCCCCAGGCCTGATGGGCTAGCCAGGTCTTAAGGGCTATGCGGAAGGCCTGGACGGTGGTGAGGGTACGAATCTCCACGGGGAGATCGTTCCAAAGGGTCGGAGCTACTACTGAGAAGGCTCTCCTCCTTGTAATTGCCAGCCGGCACTGGCTGGCAGATGGAACTCGGAGGAGGCCTAGTCTATGAGATCTAATTGGTCACAGGGAGGTAATTGGCAGAAGGCGGTCTCTCAAGTACGCAGACCCACTACCATGGAGGGCTTTATGGGTGACAAGTAGCACCTTGAAGCGCACCCGGAGATCGACAGGTAGCCAGCGCAGCTCGCGGAGGATAGGTGTTATGTGGGTGAACCGAGGTGCACCCACGATCACTCGCGCGGCTGCGTTCTGGACTAGCTGAAGTCGCCGGATGCTCTTCAAGGGCAGCCCCATGTAGAGCACATTGCAGTATTCCAGCCTAGAGGTCACAAGGGCCCGAGTGACTGTTGTGAGAGCCTCCCGATTCAGGTAGGGTCGCAACTGGCTTACCAGGCGAACCTGGGCAAATGCCCCCCTGGTCACAGCCGTCAAATGATGGTATTTAACAAATAGTTAAACATGTCCTCCTTTAATGTATTTGCTATAGAGATTTCCAAAAGTACATATAGCATTGATCTTCGAGTAATTCCCAGGTGACACAAACAACATATTAGAAGATTCTACTTGTTGGGTGGTGGTAAAGACAACATTATCAGATGACTGCTTCAACTAATTTTAATTTTAGTCTATTATTTATATTTTAAACTTTAATTTTCTGATCTCTGATCATAGTAAACATATTTATTGGTTTGGTTACTTCAAGAAGAAATATACCTAATGGAATAATTATTCCATTAGTTGTATTAGATATATTAATTATATTCTAAAAAACAAACTTTCAAAGGAAAGCTCCTTATAGATGAAATAACATAAAGACTGCTTATCAACTCAACTGTTCCTTTTTTATTTTTAACTGTACAATAAAAAAAACTCCTTCCAATTAATCTCAGCTTCTTAAAAGCAACATGGAAGCTACCACTGACATATTTTCTTCCATGCAGTCTACTTTTGACTGCAATATATCCATAGTTCTTATGACTTGGACTTCTTTGCTTTTGAACTCAACAGACTCCAAATGTCTGCTTTTAAAGAAGGCAAGAAATGTTTGATATTTAATAGGGCTTTTTGTAGATATTTGTATTTTAAAAATTATTTGTGATTCTTTTAAACTTTATAATTTTAGGGCTGGGGAGTGATATTGAAGTCCTGAAAAAACTATATTTAAGTCCTGAAAGAATAAGATGTCAAAACAAAACAAAATAATTCCCTATAGATGGCAGTCCAGCCTCTCCAGAGAACAGGAGCTGATTCTACTGTCAGCCTATTCTAATACGGAGAATCTGCCTTTCTATAATTTAAGAGCAGTATTCCTTGGTGTCCCAATTGTCTGAATGATTGGATCACATAAAAAGGACTTCATTATATCTGCTAACGTCATGGATTCAGACTACAATTTTCTGAAAATAAACTCTGACTTTAGCCATGATCTTAATACAACTTCAGAACTGTATTACATCACAAATGCCAATAATCTCTTCAAACTAAAAGATGCCCAGTAGGTGAGCCTTCTCTCTCTGGGTTACATTGGAATTAGAAAGAGTCAGTATCATAAGTTTTGGAGGAGTTGAGCTTATTGCCACATGGGATCTAGAAATAGTAGTAACATTTATATTCATATTATGATCAAGAAAGAGATTCTCAATCATTCAGGTCATTTTGTCCCAAAAGTGCTTTTCCAAAAAGCAACTGGATTTTCTTGTTTTTTTCTTTGAAAACGTTTCACTGTGAGATATGCAGTGCAATGCAGTGAGACATGTACAGATCTGTACATTGGGAAAGCAAAAAACCGTTTCATAAATGCATGGCACAACACAGGAGACTCATCACAACAAACTCATCAGGACAGGATTCAGCAGTCCATCTGCATCTGAAAGACAAAGACCACTCTTATGAAGACAACACATTCTGTACAGAGAGGACCACTGTTTGAAAGAGGGGTCAAATAGGCCATCTATGTTAAAATTGGGATGGAAACACCACCTATTTCCTATTTATAACACGTCCTTTCAGCAGTCCCAAGAAGGTTCCATGCCACTCTGAATCAGAGTGGAACCTGAATCAGAATCTAAACCTCCAAGTGGCCTCAATGATTCTCTGAGAACTGATTATCGACCTTTAGAGTGATAACGACCAGATGATTGCTAAGAAATATAAACCCTTTCATTCCCCACCAGTCCATTACAGCTGAAGAAGGTTCTTGGATGAGTAGCAAAATATTTTCAAAGAAAAGAAACCAAGGAAGTCAAGTTGTCTTTTGGAAAAGCACCTTTGGGACAGGTAAATTGAACACTGTGGCAACACTTTCTTGTATAGGGATCTGTAGTGGCCAACAGCTGTAAGCAAATGAGCAAAAATAAATTACTATAATTGACTGATATTTTCTTTCATCTATCAATTTCCATTTCATTTCTACATAATGAAGACTTTATAGAGTACGACAAATCTGTTTTCCCACTGTTTTCATAATCTTTTGTGCCTATATCTATTAGCATATTTTCAGACTATACACCTGTTTGCCACATTAAAGATTCCCTGATAATGTAATTGTAAATGCTTATCTGCACTTTCTGTCATTAAATCAATATTACTGTATATTAAGCCATTTATTACTTTGTGAATCAGATTATAGTATTTAAAGTTTAAATAAATATGAATTCAAAGGTTGCTGCAGTTGTCCTATGTGATTTTATTTAGTATGTATCTCTAGAAACACAGGGATTAGATGCTCATTGCCAGTTTTCACACCAAATCATCATTTAAAAATAATGATAATTACTTCAAACTCCTAGCGTCACCCAGTTTTCATTTTAATCCATTGTAGCACATGAAAAAATGACTAGGCAAAAGTTCATGTTTGTAATAGGCAGAGAAAAATTAAGCCTGCAGCTTTTATTAAATCACATGCCAATTAGATTAATAAACCAGATAGTTTGCTTCACACATTTCTTTCTTCAGAAAATGTGTAAATCACCAACTGTCTCAGGCTATGTTCCCGTCCCTGGGATTCTTTGAAAAACAGTTTTACGTTCATTAAATTACTGACTTTACTGAGTTGGCTCTAGTGGAGACGTTTATAAAGCCTATAAACAAATATATGAAAAAAATAAAACTTCAATGAATTCTGCTAATCTGTGATTATATTATATTATATTATATCATACATAAATGTGCCTGATATAGAAAATAAGTTAAATGTATTTGCATGAATTAAATATAAAGCTAAAATCTCAATCAATTAAAATAGCAAATGCCCACAATTGTTCAGATAAAAATACTTACCTAAATACTGTGGGTTTAAGATACAGATAATTATAACAGTTGGTCAGAGAAGGAAGTTATTAGGAAAAATAAGCATATCCCAAAATATACCTGTGTGCACTATTTTTCAGTAATGACAAATATCTCATTCATGTCATATCTAATGCATATTTTTCTGTTCTGTGTCTTGGGGTGAATAACAATGTTATTGACATATTTATTGCTGTTACATTGACTGGTGACTACAACAAACAAACAAAGCAGAATATTCTGTATTTTTACTTACATTTATAATGGTTTGGAATTTATACTTCTAGTATTTTAGAATCCTATTGCTTGGACTCAGCTGCCTGAATGGCCCCTTTCAAAAAAATGACTATTTTCAATTTCATATAATTATTAAATGAAAAAAACATTTCAACACATTGTCTTTATTCAGTTAAAATCATTAACATAAGAACTTATGACAGTTCAAGTATTGCACACATCAGCTCTTATTGATTTCAGTGAGGCTTAAGCAACTTGGATCACGGCCTGTGTATCCTACAATGGTTTAGTTTTTTGCTGGGTTTTTATTGTAATTCATAGAATTCCGATATTTGGGGGGCTGCCAAGTTTTCTAAAGAATGAGCTGACATAAAATTTATTGAGCAATTGCACTGATTAACAAGGCAGTTGTGTTTCTTAATTGTTGCTTTCCTATTTAAATGCATTTATTAACCAGATCTATTTTGCTCATAACTGTCTCACATATATATGCACTGAACAGTTTCAGCAGATACCCAACTATATGATTTGAAATGAAAAAGAACAGTTTTATCATTGTTTAGGAATACATGGCCACTGATGTAAAATTCCTAGCTGCCCTGAAGGAATACCACAGAATTATAATGTTGGAAAAAGCAGTTAGGCTAATTCTCCACTCAGTGAACAAATCTAAAGTGTCTCAGACAGATGGCTCTGTAGCCTTCACTTGAATGCATCAAATGAAAGGATCCCATTATCTCTCTGAATAACACCTGTCCATATGTCAGGTCTCTTATAATACATACTCAAGTAACACTAGTTATAAAAGACTAGTATTAATGGATTTTTTTAAAACTCTGGATCACATATACAATCCCATAGAAATTTTGAGAATATAGGATTCCCCCATGTGCAGCCTCATCCAACTAATACCATTTTGTCAGGTTCACCTACATAGGAAGTTTAAGCTTAATAAAAAAAGGCCCTACTTGAACAATGGTTGTGTACTGCTATTAATGATATAAAATTGTTCACTTGAAAAATTAATATAAGTGATGGTATAACACTATGGATAAAATTCTAATAAATAAGTTTGAAAAGTTTTAGTCTTGCAATTCAGATATGGATCAAGATGTGATTACGGTTTCAGACGTTTTTAGCCACTGAAGACAGCATAAATATCAGAATATTGTAAATATTAATAGTAGGTTATAAAGCTTATTTTAATCAGGTCGTAAGTAATAATGAACACTTATAATGCAACCAATATAAATTTTCCACTCAAGAAATTTCATAAGGAAGCTTTCTTTTATAAAACATGGATCAGACAGAATCAGTTCAAATGTGCATCTATAAATTCATACATAAAAAATTAATTGCACCAGATCTTTTCTCTCAGTCATGTTATTCCTTCAGTTCTATAGATCATCTCTAAAAGTAATGCCATTTCCCCTCTAAAATTATATCTGTCTGCCATGCCTTCAGCAGAATACTCATTTGTAAACAAAATGGTGATTCATTATTGAAGCTGAAGGGCATCGTTTTACCTAGACGTAAATTTATCATTTTTAATGCCTCACAGCTTGATGCCTGAAAATCTCATCAAGTACTCGGAAAGCTTCCTTGACACAGATTAATGACCCAAACAATTAACTTAATAAAGGAAATGAACCAGCAAGTGCAGGTTGGAATCAGATATAGGAAATTGTGGGCCAAAAGTGATCCTTAATGCAAATAAAAATTTAAAAGAGTTATATGCAAGATGTCATTTCATTTGCTTTGTAGAAAATCACTTAGAGACTACTATGCTGATGTTTATATTATATTTTCCTTAATATATTCATATTTTGGAGGCAACTAACTCGTTCCTAAGATTGCTAGAAATGTTGCACAAGCCCAGCAGTTCTGCAGCATTTAAAATGGAAACATAATTTCAGTTATTATTCACCTGAGTCAGAAGTAAATTCACTCTGATACCAAACCATACAACTCCAGAACTGATTATGAGGTACCACACGTTCCAGCATGGAAGGACCCCAAGACCCAGTCCTATCCCCACCCCCAACAACCCTATGAAGTAGGTTGGGCTGAGAGACTCATTGGCCCAAAGTCATCCAGTTGGCTTTCAATGCTAAGGCAGGATTTGAACTCACAGTCTCCTGGTTTCTAGCCTGGTGTTTTAACCACTAGATATTATAATATCTTCTACCTTCAAGAGACAGAAAATTACTTTAAATTGGTAAAAATGAAGCTCACAAGTCTTTTGTTGGATAAACTTGATCATGAAATTTTAATAATAATGGGAATGAGACACATTTCTTTTCAATTTAGCAAAAATTGTTTGTTATGGTGTGGGAGGCAGCTAAAGCAAATCTAAAAAGGTTACAACTTCTTTATAGACTTAGGATAGCTAAAATATGCATTGGATTAAATAGAGCAAAACTAATGGTTGGATATAGCAACATAGGTTGATTGGATAATTTTGAGAAGATAGTAATTAAGGTGGAACTACAAAGAAATATTGACAAAGATAGTGGCTTTTAAAATAAAAAATACTATTTTAGATAGTATTTAGAGCTTCAATTTCAAACTGTCTACCATGGACCTTACCCCATTGTTAAGAGGTCCATAAAGGGGGCATGCATAAGCGCACCAGCATGCCTACCATCCCTGTCTTACTGTCCCTATTTATC